CTCTTCATTGAATGAATGGATGAATGTATTTTGTACACTATACCGTAGCCAACATAGACGTAGGTTTCTGTCTACGGTAGCCAATTAAGGCCACAATGAAAACCGTTAAAATTCCAAAAAATAGCCGGTTTATACAGCATCTGCAATTAAAGATTCCAGTTTTTACTTGTTATAATTTTTAAACGAATTAATTTTTAGTTCATCTAAATTACGTTGCGCGTTTCTTGATTATTTGTACGTAGTAACTCTTATTAGTTTGTGATTATTTGTTACCATTAAGCTGATGGCTCTGGTGCTCTGAAGCCAATGCTTTCTAAATAAATAAAAATAATTGTCAATTAAAAAAGAAAAAAAGAAATGGCTGCGCTTTTTCTTTTTTGCCATTTCACTTTTTATATAATTTGGGTCTAAACTAATCATCTTTACAGAAACTATTCTTACAATTACTTATTACCGTGTAATTAAATTTGTATTGCTGGTTTTTTTAATGAAAATGAGGTATGGCTTTTGCTATTCTGTCGCATGGTCATAACATCAAGTGAAACTCCTCCCGTTTCACTTGATGTTTTATAAATGAGAATTGTTAGTTCTAGGTAACGAAAGTGGTCAATAATGTTTAAACAACAGTTGTCACCGAGGAGCGTGCATCCTTACCAAACCACTGTTGTGCCGAGGAGTGAACAACAGTTCGTTTCAGCATCGCAGCAAAGAGTGAAGTTTCCGTGGGCGGAGGATGTTAGCACTCCTGTATACCAGGTCACGGGTACTGATAGCTCCACCTCCGACACTGCATACCACGTAATCACTAAATACTTAATATTTTAATTCAATAGTCTTAACATATCGACGATGAAGTGACTTAAAAAAGAAAATTGTCTTCGGTTTGGAAACTAGAGAATGAATATATTTCTTTTTTCCTAATATTTGGGGAGGTATAAGAGTACATACTCTTGTCAAACCTTGCATTGATCCTTGTGCTTCAGGAGGTATTAAGCAAAAAAACCCCAAATTTTTAGTTGGAAGCTTTTAGTCAGTATAAAGGACAAACAATCATTACTTGGCATTTACATAGGTAAAGCGTTTTCTACCTTTTGTTTCAGATGCCTCAGTACTATAATAGTACTATTAAAGAATATGGGCCACCTTCACCAGTATATCAAGCTCCTTACAGTGGTGGAACGTGGCGAAATTACAAAAAAGGAGAAAAGGTTGACATTGGGGGTTCTGAAGCTTATACATTTCCTCAATGTGCCAGTGCATTTTCACTGCCTATTTGTGATGTGGAGCCCCATCAGGCTGTCAGTCGTTCACCAGTGCCACCAGTACCTTCCATGAGCCCAGAAGTGCCAATTATAGGAGCCTGCGGTGGCCATTGCCCTGGATTTGAATATGTGTGTTATTACATTTTACAGGCAAGTTTCTTTTGTTTTCTATTCCTCTTTGGGATCCTGAATTGTGGATATTATTTTACATTAAATATGATAAAATGTGGCTTGTTTAGTACATGATTATAAATTTTGTAAATTAGCAAGCCTATTGTTGCAAGGGGTAGTTTATTTCTCTACCTTGTGCATGTCTTAACTTTTTTAATCATTCTATGGAATTGGATATGACCATTTCATATAAAAACTTTCTTAACCTTGGCTTCATGCAACTGCACACTTGTACAATAGTAAACATTAGTATTCAATGTGTAGTGTATTTATATGAAACACTTCAATTAGAAGATATTCTTTGGTTGCACCCTTTTCAACTTCTAAATTCCTTTCCTGAGGTTGTCTGGAAGAAACTGCTACTTAGTAATAAGGCTGTCTTACTTGTACGGATGGGAGCATATCAAGCATTGACAGGTCTTGTTTCATTGCTCAATAGGCAATTTTTGAACAAATGTATATTTTTTTAACGCACACACACACTCAATGTGGCTCTAGGGAATCCCTGTGTCGCGGGTACCTTGAGCACACACATAGACAACCACAAATTACACCCAAACTCACTAGAGAAATAAATGTAGGCCATAAACATATTTCTCCCGAAAAATCTAAAAAAATACTGTCGGGATTATGGAAATACATTGCACGCTTAATCAAACAAAGAAATAACTCAAAATTTCCATGTTTCAAGATTTAATCATAAACCGTAGTAACACCACGCAAAGAGTAGGTACACTTCAACTGTCGCTCGATTTGAATAAAATTGAGCGAGATAAAAGATAGCCTTGCTCTTTTTCACAAAAATGTACGGACAGGTTGATAGCAATAAACAGACAGGATTCAGTCATACGCCGCCTGCTTTGAAGTCAAACCAATTTTAAGTGCGACACATAACGTAATAAATCATTATAATATTAAAAAGTGAGCCTCATTTTCATTTCTTATTTATTCATAAAGTGATGTCTTCCAGATTTATTTCACCTTATTGTAAAATTGATGCAACTAAACATTGAAACATTTCGACATAATTCAGTTTCATTCCAATTTTTACTGAATTTGTTTGAGTTATTTGCATTTAATTCAGTTTAACTCAAAATGATTGAGTATTTTGTAGATGGATTATGAGTTACATCAGTTATTTTATAAAAAATATTCTGAATAGTAGTATCAAGTGACATTATTACTCTTTACCATTAAAAAAAAACTAAATTATATGGGATTAGTTCATTCCTTTTTCACAATTACTACTTATTTTTTAAGAGGAAAAAGTATTTTGACCAGTTTTTATATAATTTTTTGTAATTTTACTTAGACTGACATCTTGGAGCGCTCGTCGAACATTAAACTTAATATTGCCGACTTCAACGTCAAACCTATCCAATTGAAGCCTAAAATAATGAAGAAAAATCTCTCCGAATCAAAATACATCCCAAGAAAAACAAATATGTTGGACTAATCAATGAATAGGTGTGATAGATATTATCAGATACCACAGATAACTGATGATAATAGTAACGCAGATGACATTGTCTTTATATTCTGAAGTTAATCAAAACTTACAAATATTGTTACCATAGCCATCGTACAGTCCATCTTCTTCAAGTTCATCCTCGTTAAGTTCATCCTAGATGAGCTTATCAACATCCAGCTGATCATGGGATACTGAAAGTTCGACTTCTTCTAAACGTCCCAATCATCATTCTTAGAACATAACCGCAGGTGTCTCGCATGTATGTCGCCAGTTCGCATACACCAAAAATTGGTACTCAGAACTCTGCGGAGTTTAGATGTGAATAAGGCTAGCGGGCCAAATGGGATTCCAGCAATAGTACTGCGTGACTGTGCGCCAGAGTTGTCACCTGTTCTCACATGCTTGCATCGCCTCTCACTAGAGACTGGTGTAGTTTCCAGGTATCGGAAACTTGCAAACGTGCAACCTGTACCTAAAAAAGGAAGCTGAGCTGACTCTGTTATCTATGGACCCATCTCAGTCACTTCCATACTCAGCAATACTATGGAATGTGTACTTAACAACCGTCTCCTATCGTACCTTGAAGATAATGATCTCCTCAGTGATCGCCAGTACCGATTCCGAAGAGGGCGATCTACCGGGGATCTTGTGTACGCTTCTTACTTATGGAGCGAGACTATAGAAGGGCTGGCAAACCCATTGCAGTGTCTTTGGACATTCTTAAGCCTTTGATAGAAATTCCAGGCACCTATGGGTATCCTGATGATACCACAGTCGTGGATAGGTACTTGACCAATGCAAGGCTTAGTGGAGAAGAAATCCAATCTTGTCGAGAGTCCATGGTTAGTCATTTGAATTTGACACTTAAGGCAGTCTCCGATTGGGACGATGCCAATCTAGTAAAATTTAACGTATCAAAACGCACGCGTGTCTATTCTCCACTAAACGGAGTCACTTTGACCTCACTCCGACTTTGCGTGATATATATGGTATGGACCGATAGCCGATCGTCTCCAGCTATTTGGAATAGACCAGGCGTCCAATTTGAACTTCGGTAGATACGTAGAATCCATGGAAAAAAATGCAGCCAAGAAGCTTGGCATCCTTTCCAAGATGAGGCATTACTTCACACCGGGATAGCCCCATACTTTCTATATTAGTTTTGATTATAGTGACCCTCCCTACCGACTCTTAGGGTATACTTAGGGCACTATCACCTGCGCGAGCATGCCCGCGCACGAACTATCTAAGTCAGGTCCTATCTCCAGATCAGCCCGTTTGCACAGAGTTCATCCGGTTCTCTGTATTGTTGTCTGCCTTAGGCAAGCCGCCCCGGGTGCACGTACATCATCCTCCCTATTTTCCAGATGGGTACCGGAGCTAAAAGTACGCTCACTTGCCGTCGCGCTCTGTGCGACTAACGGTTGTCACACTGGGACAGTTGCTACAGCTGTACCAAGCACAAGTCCGGTCGTGTATGGAGTACTGCTGCCACTTATGGGATGGATCTGCTAAATACCAACTGGCCACTTTGGATTCTATTGAAAATCGTGCCAAGCTTATAGGTAACTCGGATTTAATAGAGACGAAACTGCAGAGCCTTAAACACCACCGTTAAGTTGCCTGCGTTTCGGTACTCTACAGGATATGTCACGGAGAGTGTGCGATGGAATTGCATGAGATAATTCCACCTTCCGCTTTCCGTCATCGGGTGACTAGTTGGATGGGCCTCCACCACTATATTGTAAACATTCCTAGAATTCGCGTGAAGTGAAACGCTTCCACATTTATATGATAGTACTTATTCCTCGGACGTTATAACTTGGACCATTGGACCCGTCATGTCGAGAGACAATAGACATTATTTAGGTGTGCATGCTACATCTTCGACCTCATCGTTGCTTTCCATCATGTGAGATGGAGGACACATGCGCACCTTTTGTTATAACCGACTTTAAAAGAAGGAGGAGGTTCTTAATTCGACTGTATGTTTTTTTTGTAACTATTTGGCTTACTACAAAATATTCACCGAAGAATTCAATATTAGCTTGTTCCACCAAAAACAGAACAGAGTGACTTATATTTATCATACAATAACTCCACTGAGAAAAAAAAGAGCTAGAAGACAAAAAAATATAAGCAACATATAGAAGAAAAAACAATAAGTAGAATGGAAAAACAAACCTTTTTTGTGACTATGACTTACATGTTTAGTTATAAGTACTGTAAGTGTAAGTTGTACAAACTAAATAAATAAAATCTATCGCCAAAAATTACAAAAAAATGATGAAGTTATTTATGACTTAGAAACGGTGCTGCAATATCCAAAAGGTGATACTTCGGCATTTTATTATAAGTCTAAATTTAATAGCTACAATCTAACTTTAACGGAATTGACAAAAACTAACTCAAAAATGGCGTGTGAAAGAAGAAGTTCACTCTTACTTTTGGACAGAATCGGAAGCTAAGCGTGGGGCTGTTGAGATTTTTAGTTCACTATTTACAGAATATGTTCCCATTATATTTTTTGTTAAAGTTTATTCAAAGTTAAAGTAAAAAAAATCATAAAAAGGGAGCGGAATACGGAATATACGAAATTTCATAAAAGTAATTTTAAATGTTTCAATATAAAACTGGAGTAAAACCTTATTTAACCTTATGGTTGATTTTCTTTTTGATAATAAACAGGCTTATTGTGGCTTCTTTCGCGTGATACTTGATAAAATATCCCAAGTTTTAATCTTAAAGTGAATTAAGTAGGAACTTTTTTTTTATTTCGTATTTTTGATTATAAAAAAATAATAAATTATATTTTTAAATGACTCTTGCAAATCCTTACACACTCATCTACAAATTACAACCATTTTATTTGTTGAAATTTATCTACATATTTTCTTATCCACATACAAACTTGATGCCTAAAGTATGCAAAACTTTAAACCTTAATTGCCAAAAAACATTAAATTTGATTTATTTGTTTGTTTGAATAAGCATGCGACATGCAAACGTTATTTCGGGCAAATGTATTTTCGGTCTTCTGATTCGTAACCCCGAGCCGTAGAAAGAGTACAACAATATTTGAAAGTATTACTAACATGTATTAAAAAATATTTTAATAATAACATTAGCATGAAAGCGACTCTATGAAATTTTTGTTCTAAATATTTCAAACGCTTGTGTTTCAAACAAATGAAATTGACGTGATGGGTCTCGTTCAGTCTTTTACGCAAGCAATGAGTCGGAAAGAGACAGTTAGCTATTTGATCATTTTGATTGCTTTTGTAATTTATATTTACGATTAATTTAAATATAAATTAAATACTATATATACTAGTGCATATGATAACACTTTTAAATGATAACTATGATAACACAATGTAGTACTTACTGAAAATATGATATACCACCCAGTTTTTTCACTTTAGTTGAGTAATTTTTACAAGGTTTTACTCCACAATACGGCATCATTGACAAGCGCGCTGTCAGTCGAACAAACGAAGACTAAGCGTGATTGACGCTCTGTATACGATTTTAACGCCCTGTAAGTTCGGACACTTTTTAGCGCGGACCCGACGTCCATTTATTTGTAAGTCAATAGTTGTCTTAGTAATTTTTTGAAGTGCAATAAAGAATATTTCATTCATTCATTCATTGTACAAATTTGTTTGTTGCCACAATTAACAATTTTAGATCAACATGTACTAATTTAGTGGACCTCTCTGAAACCTTGATCGAAGCATTGGATGCTCACAAACAAGTTGACGTAGTATACACAGGTTTCAGTAAGGCTTTCGATCGGTTGCCTCATAACCTATTGTTGAAAAAGCTATCAGCCTATGGTATTTTCGGTGCATTATTGAGATGGATAAAATCTTATTTAGAAGATCGAACTTTCTCTGTAGTGGTAAATGGGTATCACTCTAATTCACGGAAAATAACATCTGGTGTGCCGCAAGGATCTCATATTGGTCCAATTTTATTCAATATATTTGTTAATTATATACCTGGCATAATCAAGTCATCTTATACGTATATGTACGCAGATGACCTAAAAATATGTAGAGAAATATGTACACAATTCAAGATTCAATGATGCTTCAGGGAGATCTTGATGTGCTTGTCGAATGGTGTCGGACCAATAAAATGGACCTTAATTCTAAAAAATGTTTTTTTCTGCGGTATGGGCGAAAGAGAAATTAGTTACGTATCAGTATAGTATAGATCAAACTAAAATTAGTGAGATGGAGCAAGTTCGAGATTTAAGAGTACTGTTTGATAGAAAACTAACGTTTATACCTTACATGGAACACGTTATGAACCGTGCATCAAGAATGCTGGGTTTTGTGCTTAGAAACAGTAAAGGTTTGCGCAGTAACAAAACTAAGATACTTTTGTATAATTCCCTAGTGCGAAGTATTTTGGAGTATTGTTCAGTTGTATGGAGACCTCATTATGCAACCCATTCTCTGCAACTCGAGCGTATTCAAAAAAGGTTCATGCGTCATCTAGTAGGTATTCTCTAATGGGATCTCAAAGAAGAAACTACCATCTTATAGGACGCAATTGAGACATTTCCGAATGAGTTCCCTAGAAGAAAGGAGGATAACGATTGATTTATCTTTCGTGTCCAAAATATTTACCCATAAAATCGAGTGCCCTCAATTACTAAGTAAATTTAACATACGTGTCCCAGTAAGTACCCTCGGAATAAAGTAACTCCTCTATCTCCACCGCTTCGAAAAACAGTGTTCGGTTCAAATTCTCCCATCTCCAGACTGTGCAAATTGGTAAATGAATATAGTGACCGACTAGATTTTCACAATGACTCACCTAACAAGATTCGCTCTATTATAATAACTCCCAATTAATTACAATTAAATATACATTTTTATCCCCGTAGTTACTTTTTTACTTAACAAATATTTCCTACAATTATGATGTTCTTGTTGTAATCCAATGTTTCATTGCGTCTTTACTTGTATTTTTTTTTTATTTTTATTTACTGTTGTTGTTATTAACTTGATGTAGTTTCAAGTTGTCAATTGCATTGTCCATAATGTAAAAATTGCAAGTGGTATTTACCTGTAATTGTTTGATGCATTTAGTTTTTTTTTTTTTGCTAGCATAAGTTCCTTTAATTGTAACAATGTACTCAAGCGTTGGTAAATCTTAAATAAATAAATAAGCTTTTATAAAATAAGAAAGTATATTCATTATTCTAGCACTCAAGTTATTCATTTGTAATTGTAAAAATATGTATTATACTTTTTCAGGTTATATTTGTAGTAGGTATACTCACTGGGATATCTCTATGCATTGCTGGGATTGTACTGCGTCGCACAAACCGTAATGGAGACCTTGGAGTTCTAGTGTACATAGGTAATAAAATAACTCTTAGGAATAATCATAAATAATAACTAGACTATGAAAAGATATATTGGACAATCCTTACTTAAGTGTATTGTGTTGCGCTCTTACAGTTTTTTGGAGCCACTCTTTAGCTCCAATGAAACTGCAATGTAGTTATGATTTGGGTCACAGTCACTGAAGCTCGAATATTACTGGTGTGTCTTAACACACCAGTAATATTAATGATAAAACACATGATTTGGCATGATAAGGGTCTTAACCCTTATCATGCCAAATCAATCAGGACGAATTATCTTTCTCGTGCTTGTAAACAATTTACCATTGCATTGGTCTCCATTCAGCCTATTTTTATCAATCTGTCCTTAAGAAAAAAAAATAAAAAGTTCTTAGTGGTGTGCTACATTCAAAATTTTTTGCAGGATGCCTAGCATCTTGCGTTTGCGGTGTACTTCTTGGCGTCCAGTGCTGCGTCAGACGCGAAATCAGACAGAGGAAACTGCGTGCCAATATGCATATACCAATGCAACCTATTACGGTATTAATACCATATCATCAAATCCAAATTAAATTAGCTCTTTTTCATTAATCTACCAACGGGAAATACTGGGATTTATTTTGTTTTCCACAGGAGGCTTCTGCTCTAGCTTGCCCATTCCTCACGTCCACACTACCTCATAGTCAAATATACAGGTAGGTTACTTTTGTTCAACTATAGTATTATTTTGGCATTGTGACTGAGACAATGTATTAATTTTGAAAGATTGGGTATTTTCGTAAATTGGTTGGAACTCGAAAACACCATTTTTGTTTCAGGCCCACGAGTATTTGTCCTGATGAAGAGGTGACAGGTGTCCCGTGGTGGCGCCGAACTCAGACTGATTAGTTTTAAGTTATCATATAAGGTGTATTTTATTTCTATAAGGATACAAACTATAACACAAATTTATTATTTTATAAATAAATTTTGCTTTTTAATTATGTAGTTCCTGTCTATTGTATTTTACCTCCATTAAAAATAACGTAAAATAAAACCACAGACATTGGATATGACTTAATATAATTTATTAAATTTGAAACATGTTGCAATAGATAATCTGTTAAATACAAACAAATAAATTAAAAAATGGTACTTTAAGTACAGAGATATAAGTCAATAAAAATAAATATAAATTGCTCTTTGAAACCAAAATCATCAGTAAATAAAAAAATGCTCTTAATGAATACAAATGGAAAACTCGATTCCATGAATTAAAAAATAAGTATTACCATTTTTACATTACAACATGTACTCTTAATCTACGTTTATAATTCCGATTATTTACATTGTAAAGTTTCCATTGTATTTCTAAAAATAACTTACATGTTCAGATGCATAACAAAGATCAAAAATCGTGTTATAAAAAAATCAACACATACAGAGAGCTATGATTACGTTTGAACATCAAACCTGTAAAATTTTCAAGTGAATGCTATGCAATCTATGCGACGACGTGATGTTTTCTACAACCTTGTTTCAATGTCGTGGTTACAGCCACTTTATTCTTAAAATTACAACATCGTTTTTGTGATGACATTTTTTCTTTAGAAACTAGTGAAAAGTAATATAAAAGAAATTTATAGTAACTTTCTCGTTTTGATAGCTGTGTAGGCGCCTACAGCGGATGTGCGTCGTTTAGTTCTTATTTGTGACAATTGCCAGTTCGCTACATTTGGGCGTAACGGTCAATACTACTATGCTTTCACCAGTCGCAATAGTAGCAATAGTACCAAGTGTTGGATATATTTTTACTTTAGAATGCTATGCTAAATCAATAGATAATGCATTTGGAGCAACCTGACCAGTCTGCGAAGATTCAATATAATGTAAATTGGAAAACTATCCAAAATTAATTGTAAGATTCATTTCATTACATAAAGTTAAGGACGTTTAAGAGATAATGAGATTTCAATACACCTTACTTAAGTAATATATATGTAAGTATGTCTCTAACTCTAAAATCTAATTCTGGACGATAATTTGGCCACTTGTCTTTCATTAAACAACTGTTGTAAGACAAATCTTACGAAAGCTTCGTAATTTACTTAAGTCGATCAACTTTAAATAGGTAAATAGCGTTTACGACACAGAATTGATTTATAAACACCTTTAGTCCTCCAGGCGAAATAAACAAAAAATAGTAAAAATCTGAACATATCCAAAAGAATACTCCAAACCTCTTAAAAATAGATTTGATAATTAATTACACAAAATTGTGCTTAAGTTCTTGCCAAGACTCTTAAAATTACTAATGTAAAATTATGTAAGAAAGATTACGTTAACTCACGATTGAATAATTAATCGCAATATATATTCACTCACAAACGTAATATTGGGAATCGAAATAAATGTGCATCATAAATAACATACTATCACACAACAAGCACACATAACTTGCGATAAACTAAAGGTATTCGCTCGTGTTGCTTTTCATACTTTACTTTGTACCACAAAGTTCGAAGGACACGAAACAACGCGCCGCACAGTGAGCCCAAATTGATAATTATTGGATAACTTGTGGAGTATCGAGCTGATTTTTTTTCATATGATACATAATAACTTTCATAATAACTTTTATTCTTATATAATTTCTTGAAAAGCTGATTATTTCAGAGAAAAAAAATTACCTTTTTTGTTTGGAGAAATAAACATTTTATTTTTTATCTGGAAATGTAGAAAAATGTAATGTGTGTGGTTTATTTACAGTATAGGTGCAATCATTCTCTATCAAGAAAAAAATAATCCATCTGCAGATACTTGCGATTTTGCGAGTAAAAAGGTGGCAAATTTTTAGATTTGTTATTTATTTTTTAACACGATATACTAGTTTTTACTTAACTTTCATGTTATTGTTATAACACTCTCTAAGTTACACTAAAATTAATTTTTCTTTAGTCGAAGCTCAAGTATTTAGTTAAAAAAGTACTTTAAAAAGTTGGCAATTTTGCCGCACCTTTACTTACAAAGCTGCAAGTACATGCAGACGGATTATTTTTTTCTACATAGAAAATGATTGGAACTATACTGTAAGTAACCCACGCACATTACATTTTCGTATATTTGAGATAAAAAAATAAAATGTATATTTCTCCATACACAAAATTTTTTTTTTCTCCGAAACTATCAAATTTTCAAGAAATTATACAAGAATAAAAGTTGTTAGGAATGTTACTTTGTTAATGTTAATGTGTATTTTTATCTATCATATAAAAAAAATTAGCTCGATACTCTACAAGTTCAAGAATTATCAATTTGGGCCCACTGCGCGCCGGAGTGATAGTTAAGTAACTTCATGATGATGATTACTTGAGTTTACAATTATAATAAAAATAAATTCTATTAATTACTTATGTAAATAGCGTAACCTAATGCCTTATATTTACTTCGTTATCACTCCGGTGCGTCGATGTAACGCGACGCTTAGGACTAGCCTGAAGCTTTAGAAACATCGGTGATGTTTCAGTTTATGCGATTGATGGCCTGCCGTCCAGCATCTTGTCACTCTCCTCCGCGCTACTCATGCTGAAAAAAAAAGAGAGCACGTGAACTCAAAATACAAAAACTTACTTAAAAGTACACTTATCAATGGACGCATCACGTTGTAAAAACTGTCCGTGTGCCTTATTCCAGCGTAACCATAGTAGAGTTTTTGAAATTTGACTAGCCAGAAAAAAAGTCGCTATTTAGTCGGTTCTAGTCGTAAAAAAGTAGATTTAATCGGTCCGCCGTTCAAAAGTTGTAAGGGTGTTTTACTGTCCACGCTGAAATAAGCTTATTCAATCAATCTCGAGAACCACATAGGTGTTGTGCTGATTACACTAAAAAAAGTCGTGATTTAGTCTGTTCTAGTCGTAAAAAACTAGATTTAATCGTTACGCCGTTTTAAAGTTTTTAAAGTGTTTTACTGTCCACGTTGAAATAAGCTTATTCCGGCTGCACCATTTTTGAATGTCGAGAACCACAGCTCCTATCTTAGATCTGATTGTACCCAGAAAAAGTCGTGAATTAGTCGATACTAGTCGCGAAATTTTAGAATTAGTCGCCCCTTTGTTTAGAAGATCCAACCGATTTATTATTTTAAGGTTATACCTGTGTTAGTCTCGGAGCTCACTTACCTACAAATTTTGCATAATATAGAGAATTAGTTGTTTATTTTTTTGAAATACATGCTATTTTAATAATGTTTAGTTTTGCATGCAATGCTAGGAAATTAGCAAAAAGTATACAGTTATTTTTCTTAATGGCATTAGAATTTATCGATTGTCATGATATTTATTAGTGTATGTACCTATGTCGTGTTAGGCTCCTGGATTACACGAGACGAACGAGTCGAGGCGCGTGGAACATAGTCGCGTACCACAATTGATCAGAATAATTTAATAATGAATGAATGACTTAATTGAATAATGACTGTCCGTTCTCGTTACTTTTTGTTCTGTGCTTGCGCTATAAATTATAATGTGTAAGAGTCATTCTTAGGGTCGTATTCCAGAACTCTACTCAATACTCAAGTCAGGACTTGAGTATTGCAGTGAGCTCTGAAAATCATACTCAAGTCCTTGCCATTAGGGTCGTATTTCCAGTGCTTGAAATCATACTCAAGTCTGCTCAAGTCCTGACTTGAGCATTGAGTAGAGTTCTGGAATACGACCCTAAGAATGACTCTTACACATTATAATTTATAGCGCAAGCACAGAACAAAAAGTAACGAGAACGGATACTCTCCGCCCCTCCCTAGCTTTAGATACCGCACCACGCCCCGCTTATTGACGGTCACATTGACTGAACGACAACATGGCTGACGGTGAGCCGTTTTCGCGTTAAGAAGGCTTTGATATTTGAATATAGTTTTCATTTATACATTACGAAACTTGTACGTTAATATTTATAATGGTCGTGAATTGTGCTGTGTACGGCTGTTTATCATCGTCTAAACGGGGTAAAGAGAAGAGTTTCTTTCGTTCTCCGGAAGATGGAACGAAGTAATTAAAAAAAAAGTTATGTCTGAGACTCATTGAATTATTGTTTTCTTCATTTAATTAGTGCAGAGTAATATATATAATACAGATTTATTATATCAATATAATGAGACGCCATAAGTTCGTGACCTAGTAGACAAGGGTTCTCGAATTTTCAATTTGTATTGCCGATTAATATGCATTGATTATGTCTAATTATTAACCAGGTGACATTGGATACGCAATTTCAAATACCTTGGTTACTAGGATTCTATAATTATTAGGATTATACTAATAGAATTATAGATAACAGATTCGCGGCAGAATTCTCGTTCGTGACATTCGTGACAGTCCATCAGTCGCATCTTTCAAACACAAATTAAAAGAGCACTTCCTGTCGAACGCGTTAGTTAGTTAATCGGTAATAAACTAGTAATTTGTTATTATAATATATATTGTGCTTATGTACGTATTTATGTATATAAAGTTTATGTACGTTTGCGCGTCTGCAGATAGCGCCTTGCTGTATGTAGTAGTAGTAATAGGTAAATAACTTTCGACCGTTGTATGAAGTGTCCGGGGTGTGGCGTAAGTCATTTTCAACTACAATTTGTTACGGTTAAATGAGACTTTAAAAATTCAGTAGATATTTAAAATATTTATTTATTACACTTATCAATCAAAATTATTTTAATCACCACGAACACGATATCTTGAGTGGTTACACAAAGAACATTTGGAGCGGCGACCTTCCTTATACTCCGTCCAAACATTTATTTAACTTTTGACATATGCATGCCTCCGAAGTTCCGTAATTATTGACAAAGAACCATTGTGCAACCATAGATAAACAAATGCAATACTTCCTTCCGAACTCTTCTATTTTTTAATTTTAGTGAAGCGACGTGCTCTTTAGCTCCGATATTTATCGAGTCAAGAGATAATGTAACGGAGATTATTCAACTTGATAAATTTTGGTACCTGTCTAATAGAGAAATGTATAAATTATAAATAATTATAATAAATTTTTATTGTTTATTATAATGAATCGTCGGATTCTTCTCCATATGAACGGGAATCATCACTTGAATCATCATTAACATTAATTATTAATTTTTGAGTACACAAATTGTCAAACGCAACATCACGATCCCAATCAGGCAATGTCTTCTTTTTAACTCGCTCACATTCACGATTTAAGTTTCTTCATAAATAAAATCGATTGTTATAAAAAACTCTTATCGGAAACGCATTAGAACATCACTAATTGATTAGAATTCGAGCTGTCAAAAGTTAAATAAATGGTTTGACGGAGTGTAGAATATATGTAGATATACATTTTTCATTATGTGTACGATTTTTCTACGTAAATGTACCTATCAATAAAAATAATTGAATATCCAATATCTTCTAAACAAATAAATTCTAAATTCTAAAATTTTGCGACTAGAACCGACTAATTCACGACTTTTTCTGGGTGCAATCAGATCTAAGACAGGAGCTCTGGTTCTCGAGATTCAAAAATGGTGCCGCCGGAATAAGCTTATTTCAACTTGGACAGTAAAATACCTCAATAACTTCAAAACGGCGTAAACGACTAAATCAAATAAATAAAAGTTTTTTACGACAAGAACCGACTAAATCACGACTTTTTTTAGTGTAATCAGATCTAAGCTAGGTGTTGTGGTTCTCGAGATTAAGAAATGGTGTCGCTAGAATAAGCTTATTTCAGCGTGGCAGTAAAACACTCTTATAACTTTTGAACGGCAGACCAACTAAATCTAGTTTTTTGCGACTAGAACGAACTAAATAGCGCTTTTTTTCTGGCTTGTCAAATTTCAAAAACTCCATCGTGGTCACGCTAGAATAAGACACACAAACTGTTCCACTTTTAAAACTGTAGATTTGTACCTAAGACAATTACGGTAAGGTACAATTTTTAACAAAAAATTTCGATAGTATTTATATCTCTGGAAGGGCCACAGACTATTGTAAATATAATATTGTAGTAACTCTTCAAAGGAAATTTCTAAAGTCGCCCAAAGTACTCTAAGATGGAGACAAAAAAAAACAATGTGTGTATCTAAATCTTTTTCTACGACTGTACCCTAAATGTGTATTTTAGCCAAGACTCGATAATTAAATCATCTGGTCACGAACTAGTTGTAAGCTTCTATTTAGTTTAATATCATAGAGACGTATTAAAAACCCTCGTGTTCGATGGGCTGCACGACGACGACGACGCGACGCGACGGTAGGAAACATTAAGTAAACAAGGGACAAAGGTTGTTGCGTGAACGCCACCTGTTGTAATGAGTACAATAGACGCATGGTATACCTAGCCCAAAATAGTAAACAATTTAAAACACGTAGAATCACCTCTACCAAATGTGAATCACGCTGCGTGAGAATGCTATTTCTCCAATATTAACTATGACTATCACAACATTTCATTGTTATTTTCTTATCGTGAAATTTACTTTTACAACTTGTATCGACTCCGTTGAGTTTGTATAAACATTTGTGACGCATTTTAAATACGTATTCGCAAAATGACTGACGCAAGGTGATTTCTGATTACGTGTGCGCTTTAACAAGTGTCCGGTAGAAACTATACTAAGCGACCAAAAAAGGATGAACCTAGAAAATAATCAGCAGCAGCCAGCATCTATCTGATAGTAGCTATCCAGCGATTGCCAACCTGGCTGGCAAGCGTGTCAAATCAAATCAAAATAATTTTTAAAAGAATTTTTACACTTCGTCACATTGGTTAAACTCTACCGCTCATTCGAAAGATAGATTCCCTTGAGAAGAATGAGCAAGAAACTCTAGGGGTTGCTCTTTGTAAATAACATTTGTACACATTCAACATTTACAATATATTTTTTTTGTTTTCAAACATCAGAGATCGAGACTACCTCCATGAGCTAAACGGGTTACTACTACCACGGATTTTTGTCATCCAAGTACGTATAACAACCTTTAGTGTAATGTTTTTGTTTCACTATAATTTTAAATCTCGTGAATGGCAAATTTTGTATATCAACCGGAATCTTGTTATAGAAGCGTATACATTAAATGGATTGTTGGCTTTGTGAAGACGACTATTAAGAACAGCTAGTTTATTTTTATTCCTCTTATTAATGTTATGTCTGTTGCTATTTTGCATAAAGAAATTATTATTCCTCTTAACATAAATTAAATTTTCATAAATGCTCTGTGACGCTAGTGTAAACTTAAACTTATATCTCGAAGATACTCTGGGGCCCAGATTGTAAATTGCCCTAACCCATCCCAAACCGCACGTTTCTGCAGGACAAAGATTCCATTGATATCGGCGGTATTACCCCAAAGCAAAATGTCGGTGAAAGGCTTGACGGTGAAATTATAGGAAGATAAATTAACCTGTTTACAGAAATCAATACTGCGAAATGTTACTTATCCCTATTCTTTAGTTAAATGGAAGCACGGACACGGCACAGATTATGATGTGAAAACCATAGAATTACCGCGCTCAGGAAACCAGTGCCGATATATGCCTGCCGCTCCTTTCAAATTATTCCGTATAGGTGAATGAGACCGTCCAACAATGGTAATGCTCGCATTTGTAGTACATATTAACTATTTGTAATTTTGTTTCGCTGGAGAAGTTAATGATGAATACGTGCAAACCGCTCTTATAGGAACAACGACATACAATGTTTGTAGCAGTGTAGTGTAGGTAGCCTATATTAACTATATGTATATCGCCCGCGTCTGAGTTCTGTAGAAAGGGCGAATGCGACATTTCATAGATTTTTCAAGGGAGCATGTTTTACGTTCTAACGACTACGACTGTATTAATATATTTACGTCCTGTTTTAAAATTCAATTTTGAAATTTAAACTTAATTAAAATCAAAATAGAATTTTAAAACAGGAGGTCTACTCTTTTTCAACGAAAAACGAAATTTCGAAGTTTCTTACCATAATTCCATTACATTGCGTAATTTGTTTGAAAACTAAAAAAAACTTGTTTGACGTTTAGTTTTTCGTTACCTTACTCTAATTCAGGAAACTTCCGAACGAAAAAGGGCAATGGCAAACTCCCATATAAATTTTTGTTGACATAATTTGTATTTTTGTTGACATAAAATGTAAGAGTTGAAATTCCTAAACAAATAGGAAATGAAACTATTTTTCCGGATTTAAATCGCGTATATTTGTTTTTTCAAAAAAACCGACTTTTCGGACCCAACGGCAGTCAACCGTGACCATAGGACCTGTAAAGGGCCCGAAACGTCGGTTTGTTTGAAAAAACAAATATATGCGATTTAAATCCAGAAAAATAGTTTCATTTCCTATGTGTAACAATCGCGAAAACCTAAGAACTCGATATTCCTAAACAAATTTTGCTTTTGGTTTACTATTCAGAGAATTGAGGAATTAAAGATATTCTGGTTTGAAGTTTTGGAGGTTGTTGTTACGTAATTGAATATAATATATTCGGTGTATTATTATATCAAAACAAATTACATAAGTCTTAAACATAGTCAATAGAACCTGAATGGAGCTGTGGGTTTGTGAAGTGACGAAAGTTCAGAGGAAATAATTTTGTATACTGCTATAGTCAAAAGGCATAACAAAAAAACTGAGTTAATTAATAACATACCACAGACTATTGCACTGGTAACTCGGGCACAAATTATTTTTTTTGTGAAACGTGCCATCTACCCTGATTTTGGAAACTTTTTTGTCAGTTTTACCATTTTCTCGCGTGGCATTTTGAAGAAGAAATTACCGACTTTATTTTTTGTAATGAAGTAGTTAATCTTCTATTACCTTATTACAAATCGGTCGAATCAGTAAATTTGATATTACGTGAATTAAATGTGGACCATATCGATGCCTTACTTTCTCAAACTCGTATCTTATAAAAAGTGATTATTCAGGAGATGGCAAAACTGGACGGAAATATTTTAAAACAGTCGTTAAAACCTAAAAAATGCGCTCGTGAAATATCTACGAAATGGCACGTACTCCCTTTCTACAAAACATCGAAAGGTGCTACATTACGCGCAGAAGAGCGTGCTCACTTTTAGTGTTATGGAATATGTTATTTGAAATTATAAACTCTTTTCAAACCTAGTCATACTTAGTATAAATACAGAGCCTAGTCAAACGGTGCATCAATAGGCACGATGAGAATTTACTTAACCCCGGGTATTTTATACGGATTACAACAACTTTAACATTACAAACAAAAATTCGGATCATGTTTATTAAACACTTCCACTTCCACTTACCATTCCTTATTGTCCATGAGATTGCGCATCTCGTCATCCGGGGCGGGCGGAGCGTCCCGAACAGGGGCGTACTGTGCGGCCACGAGCGGGTCTGTCGAGGGGTTCAACGCTGTAAGGGCTGCCGCTCCGCTGGCCGGCGCCTCCTTTCCACCTCCCCATCTGGATGACCATGCCCATCCGCCAACGCCTGAAGGAATAAAGCAGACGATAAGTTATTTAAACCTGGATTGAGCCGCGGTTAGTGGATATTTACTTACTTTCTTTTTTGTGCATATGTATGCGTATAAGAAAGAATCTACGCTAAGTTTGGATTGTAGCAATTTTATTTAATTATTGCTATCATTAATAATGGTAATAAAGACGTTTTCAAATTTTTGGACAATTTGTGAGTAACTAGCAAATTTTAGAAAGAAGAAAGAAAGAAGTTCTTCTAGTAACTAGCAAATTTTAGTCGATACATAGCTTGGCAAAAAAAATAGGGCATCCTTTTCAAGGTCAGGATAGCATTAAAATCTTTATCAAACTTAAGTTCGTGTATGCAGTACTGCTGTTACCTACCTACCTTTACCGTACCTAAGTGACGGCTTTGCCCAGTACTACCAGTTAGCTGCCTGTGACTTGGTGGAGAAGCAAATAGACTAATGCGCTGGGCAAACGTAGACATTTTTGGTTACCTACACCAGACACTATCATAATAGGAAACCGTGGTTGCTGTGTCCGATATTGGCAACCGGACACAGTCGCCGGTTGCTACTTCTGGACACTAGTAAAGTAACAGTTCACTGCTTGAATTCTCGAGAGTCCCGTTGGCGTCACAATATATTAATATTTATTTTGCTTGTTGCTAGCTGATTGTATGTTGATGCAGATGTCGTCGCCATATAATTACAAGCAAATTAACCAAATCAGCAGCAGTTTCTAATTGCTTACATTTTTTGTTTTTTATTATTGTCTTGTAAACTTACATTATTACATACAATATATTGTATTACAAGAATCGTTACAAATAGTAATAAATACATTTCAAAAAATTAGAAATATCCAGTACAAGTTTTGTGCTTTGTAATTAAATAATGTAGGAACATATTAAATAATATAATAATAATTATGCCAAAATAATGAGTGTATGCGTTAAGTTTATGTAATTTATCCATTTCTGTAAAATAATACATTATACATCGAATACGTTTTGTGTATGTGTAAAATGGAAGCAACTAGAAACAGCTGTGTTTGCGCATATCTATACGTAGTTGTTGATTTCGTATTAATTGTATGAAAATGGAATATTCAATATCAATTGCCAGTTGCTTGTATCCAACACAAAACATTGAAGTGTCTACGTTTGTACGGCGTGCGGCGGCTTATTGACGACGAAATTACTCTCTTCAAGAATCATGTCCTTATGTCATTGACTTACCACATATTCGCATGAAGTGCTTTACTTAATCTTGCCAGATGTGTACGGCAACGGAATGGAATACTCTACCTGCTCTGCATTTCTCGAAGGCGGTGGTGCTATTCAAGGCTAGTCTAAATGGGTAATTACATATCTATGGTATTTACTCGACAAACGCGTAACATCGTCGATCGTTTAACATCAGGGCAAGTTTGTGGCCAAATATTCGTTTATGTTACATACGTCAAGTGCTTGAAACTCGTACGCTAGAGGGTGGACGCTAGGCCCCGCTGACAAAACACAATCAACATAAACTTACCTATTTGAAAAACCTAAATATCAACGACGTAATAAAACCCTAGACCATGAGAAATGTTACAAGATATTTTAGTGTTTAAAGGTGCCGTGAACGGACCTTTCGCAAATAGTGATGACAACATAAATAGAGGAAACTAGGTATCGTGCTGACATTGGAAAGGACAGAGGTCACTGCGAAGTGCTTTGTTATGTTGTGGTGCAATCTACGATAAATTGTGAAAATACCTACTGAGATTTACATGTAAACTAGACTATAAAATAGCCAGTTTACATCGAATTCAGGACCAAACCATATATTCTGTATAACCTATATACTAATGGCGAAAGGCATAAATTAATTATCGCTATTTGTGGAGACCTCGACCCCTCACGAACACAGTAAAATGTACTACATATAAGTTGCGTCGTAAGTGTAAATAAATATATTAGTACTATTATCCGTTTTGGTCAATTAATAAACTGGCGCCTTGCAGTGTAGAAATAATACTGGCCAAAATAGAGATATTCAAAATAAAGTCATTTTAAAAATATAAAAAGAAAAACAAATCGTATTCATTGCTGCAACAACATCATTTCTAGTTGTGAGCAAACAAGACAATTGAATCGTATCTGTTTGCGACAAGTGAGGCGTCGAGTGATCATTTGGGTCAAGACCCCGACAGCGAGGTTCTTATCACTCGTATACCGTGAACAATTTGAAGCGAGGTACATAAAGCTCGTAATGGACGAGTACATATTAACGAGTTCTGGCGTCGTCGTAGTCCGCTCGACTATATTGTAGAAGGTTACCGCGTCTCCCGAGTCCCGATATTATCATCGTACCAGGAGTTTCAAATCCAGAACTAAGTTTCACTTTTATTTTTCTAAATAATTATACATATATTATAATACGGGAGGCGGATGAAAAGTAATCTACCTAAGTATGAAATAAACGACGACCACGGCAACTTTTTCTCAGTATGAAATAGACAGAAAATCTAAATAGGAAATGCACTTTTTATATTTGTTTACTTTTTTCCTCCGCCATTTTGTCGAAACGTAATAAGCAAAAGAGTGTCACTAAGTTTGAAAAAAGAATAATGCGTCACGATAGTGGCCTGTATTATTTTTGAATTGAAAATAGTGAAAAGAAATTACTTTCAGCCGCCTCTCGTATATTTCTGATAATTAATAAAAGTATAGAGAAATTGTACTTACCAATAAAGAGCAGCCCGAGGGTGAGAATAACTCCTCCAGCGATGAGTGTACCGAGACCATAATCCGCGCCCTCCAACGGCATGTAAGTGGGTGCATCTGAGTACTGCACGCCCCCTGCAATCAGCAGTGCCAAACCTGTCGACAAGATTGGTAACATTTCAATGTCATGTACCAGATAAGTAACTAACTAACTAGCTGGTTTCAATTCAACCGGGCACGAGTTGCAGTGGTCAATATGGAAATCCTGAATCGTCTCAGGTCAAAGTTGGTCGATGTAGAGACAACATGGTGAAATGGGAATATAACAATCCGGCTCAAAATCATTGAGCTTGTGGATCCCCCACACTAAATATGTCTCACTTGCTCTTATTGTCACTGTGTCCGACCAGTTGCACCCGTGAAAACCTACTAAAGGCAACAGATAGGGGCATAGAGGCGGCTGCTTACTAGGCAAAGAAATAGAGCCCTGGTTTGGTTACTTATTTGTTTTTGTCATTGACTCAACAAGAAGAAGACAGGTTTCAATTATTGCCATTGTTGATTTATTATTGATGAATGATGGGTATTATGGGCATTAATTTTACTCGTCACTGTGTTCATACACTTTTTTCAAACGTAACCAGTAAGTAATCTGAAAGAAGATTATCAATTCAATTCACTTTTTGTAGATTTTGGGTTCTGTCCCATTGAGGATAAAGATTATCAATGTATATCAAGAAAAAATATGAAAAAATTATTTAAAGAGTGAATACAAATAAAAAAACGTTCTAACACAGTAACCAACTGTCCTGTTTGTCAAATCGTAAAGTTATAAATAAGTAAGTATATTTAATAAAGTAAGTAAGTATAATTAATGAAAGTAAATAATGTTATTTTTCATGTCGACTGTTTAGGTTGTATTACAAGAAAATAAGTCCATGCAGTATTTCAAATTGTTACCAGTTAAAAAGTTTAAAAACATGGTAATGGTATGTATAAGTAATTATGTATGTACGGTTAATACCGCACATTAAGTATGTTACCGCGTCAGCATT